TTCTCGGACACGGTGAAGAAACCTTTCTCATTGGAGCATCGGAACAGCCGCGTGTGCCGCATGAACTCCGCATCCTGGGGTCAGAGGGAAGAGGTCAGCAGGTTAGGTTACATCTTCATGTCTGATTTGTAGAGCCGAGTAGGAAAGGAAGGAAAGTCCACAAGCCTGAAGGGTCAAATAAATAAATAAAAGGGTCAAAGTTCCCAAAGAGTCAAAGTTCCAGAAGGATCAAAGTTCATCTCACCTCCTCGTACTCGGTCCGGCCGCCCAGAGCCACCCAGAAGAAATTCTCTGGTTCCTCCCCTTCATTCAGGATCTGCACACTGTACGAACCCTGCGGAACAATAACAACAGTTAACAACAACACAGTCAACAAGTCAACAACAACACAGTCAACAACAACACAGTCAACACCTGCACAAGTCACAACCTAGTCTTGTGTTCAATCTCGTAGACATCAAACTTTGGAGGTATGTGTACCTTTCATGATTGATGATTGATGAATTTCTACTAACTGCAACGCATGATTTATGATAACAGAAGCTGCGGGAGTTCCCGCCTGTTGCCTTACATTCGGGTTGATGTCGTTTGAGACGTCCTCCACGAGTTTCGCCTCGTCGGGCTCGGAGCAGCGACCGATCCACACGTACACGATCCCGTTCGTCTCGTCATTGTCAAACGGAACCTTCAGGATGTAGCTGTGCAGGCAAAGTGTCAGTATTAACGGATACCTTTAAGTTTTATGATTGTTGTCTGAAAAGTTAACCCTTATCCTGTTGGCATTTTTACACGAGAAATACCCACAAATCATACATATACAGGGTGCTATATAGATGGTACTGTATGTGCAACCCACATACTGTTTTTATATTCACTAAGTACTATATGACGTGATGATGACATTTTAAAGAGATTCGGACAAAATCCCCAGGAACTCACCAGAACTCGGAGTTGAGCAGTTTTCCCTCGGCGGGGATCTGTGGGGAAAATCAGCTGGTTTGTCATCAGGTTTGAGATACAGTCTGGATGTCTGAAAACATCCTCAGGTACAAATGTATAAGTGTTAAAACACCCTCTCAAACTTATAAAAATGTAAAAACTCTCAAAGAAACTCAATGAAGGAATCAACTTGGAACCATTCCCGTAGCTGCTCCCAACTAACCTTTCACATGTACTAATCCCTGCCTGAACAATAACCTCTAACCTTTAACCCTCTGACCCTGACCTCTATACAGAACTCTGGTACAGAGACAAAGACAAAGTGGCCAACGCTGAAGTGCTGTCCCGTGCCGGCCTACCAACCATGTTCACCCTGCTTAGGCAGCGCAGACTTCGCTGGTTAGGCCACGTCCGTCGAATGGAGGATGGTCGAATCCCCAAAAACCTTCTCTACGGAGAACTGATCTTAGGAAAGAGAAGCACCGGGCGGCCACAGCTGCGGTTCAAAGATGTCTGTAAGAGGGACTTGAAGGCTCTAGATATCAATACAGAGCACTGGGAGGACCTTGCTGATGACCGCGCTAGATGGAGATGCACACTGTCCAGGCAACTGAATACCGGAGAAGCCAGACTGATGCGCAATGCAGATGAAAGGCGAATCCGTAGGAAAGATAGTTCCAATAGAACTGAGTCAGTCTATAAGTGTGAGAACTGCGGCAGAGACTGCCATTCACGAATAGGACTGTTAAGTCATAGTAGATACTGTAATTAGATGTTAAGTAGGATTTACCATGGTCAGTATTGACCGACGGAGGCCATATATATGGTACAGAGCAGTATCCTAGTAATTGTTTTACACAATCTTTGTACAATATTCCCCTCCTGACCCCTGACCTGTATACACCTGGTGCAGAGCGGGCTGCCGTTGGCCCTGATCTGGAACAGCGACGGCTGCGGCTCTGCTGGTTTGTCCTTCCTGTGACCTTGGTGGATGATGAACTTCTTCTTGAAGTGGGCCAGGAACTTCAGGTTTTCTTGTTGCTGCAGACAGAAGCAGTGGTGAATAAATGGTTACTTTAGGTTTGGAAAGACAACGGCAACAGGAAACATTAACTTTCAACTTGTTGGTAAACATGTTACAGCTGCAGTTACTTACTGGTCTATTCTTACTAAGACTTAGTGTTGTTACTAACTAGTGTTAGACTCACCTGGTTTGTTCTCACACCTGAAACTCACCTGGTGTGTTCTCACCACCTCCAGTTTCCCGGGAAACAGTGACTCAAACTTCTTCTGCAGGCTGTGGAAAACAAGGGAATATCAATGACTCAGCACTTAGTACTTAGTACACGCAGTTACTGATCAACAATACATTAAGGCTTTAAGAAGTTTAACATCATTAAGTCTAGCAGCCAACCTCAACAAATTTCATGCTCACTTCCGTCTGTAAATACCAAGAAGTGCTGCAGGCGTACCTAAAAGTGAAAGTGAGCCAGCCCATGTTGCTTGCGTCTCGGCCCTGCCAGAAGTAGACGACACACTGGAAGTCCTCCTGCTCCTCCTGCTGCTCCGGAGCATCCTCCTCCTGCTCCTCCTGCTCCGGGGTCTCCACGGGAACCCAGTAGCGGCACAGGAACACGTAACTGTCCCCGCTGTAGAAGTGACCTGGGGTTATAGGGCAGAGGGTAGAGTTCACAGGCACAGATTATTGATAAAAACAGTTTAAGACATGAAAGAGTGAGAGGTAATACACAGAAAAACTTCTTGTCTCTATATTGTACCAAAACCGTTCCTTACCGATTTCCTCTTCAGGCAGCCTGACAAACTTCTTCCCCTCCAGAACAAACGACTCCATCCCGTCCAAATCCTCGTTCCACTCTTCCATCAGCTGCTCCTAATGGCACAAATATGTACATCGATATCAGGCAAATATAGCAGGCATGCAGGTTACTAAATATACTTTACACAGAGCACACTAGTTTCTACTACTAATACTACTACTCCTACTACACAGCTACTTCCGAGAATCTACTACTACTGTTACTACTACTCCTCCTCCTCCTACTACTACTACTACTACTACAGTAACTACTACTTCTACTACTACTACTACATGTAAATGTAGTACTACTACTACAACTAGAACTACTTCTACAGGAGAACCCACAACACTAGGGGGGAGGTAACTTACGGCTTCAGCAGCGGACATGGAGGGCTGTCTGGGCATGAAGAGCGCTGACAGGTCTGTCTTAGCTTCCTTCTTAGCCTGATCCTCGTCCTAAGGAGATAACAAACTTTAAGGACACACTTAAGGAACAGTTTCAGAAAGGTCATTCAAAATCACAGCTATAAGCCTCAATCTGAAGTCTGTCCACAGGGAATATATAATAATCATTTCAAGTTTTATTGAAAGAAGATGGGTTTACAAAAAATATGGGGTAAACTAACAGCTAACTACACACAGTTAAATTCCTCAACAACTTCAATCTGTGGAGAAAAGGGCATTATAATTAGTTACTGGTTGGGACAGCCTCTAACTTATTCTAAGTTAAACACAATTAATAAAAACACACACACACTAACATGCACACACATAAAGAAGTCAGAACATGCACATACACAGAGAAGACAGAAGTCATGCACACATATGGAGAAGTCAGAGCATGCACACACAGAAGACATACATGTAACATGCACAAGTGGGTGGGATCAGTCACACAGAGGAAGGGGATAAGTACAGAAATGTTTTACCTGTGGTACCTGCCAGGCACCTGTGCAAGGTGAGTCCACATTAGGCTATCATGTTACCTGCTACAGGTGGCTACTCTGCAACTTAAGACGACTTCGTTACAGTCTAACTACAGAAAATGTCTAGTAAGAATTTCAAAAGAAGGTTGTTACCTGCTCTCGGCAGCGAAAAGCGTCAGAGAAATGTTACTGTAACTGAGCCAGCAGATGTTACCACGGTTACATCTCCATGGTTACAGGGTTTCCATGGTGACGAGAAGAAGACAAGTTGACCTGTGCGCCATGACGGGGCTGCTAGTGTCAGACTATCAGTGGTCAAGCAGACAAACTCTCTACTTTTCAGGTTTTTTAAACAATTATTGAATCATCATTCTGCTTCTCCTGACTGTAGTTTCAGTCTAGCAAATGGTTGTGGGGAGTAGCAGCAGAATGCTTGCCTTGGAACTTAAGAGGTCCTGGGTTCGAGTCCTGACATGCCACCGATCTTGTGCCCTTGGGAAAGGCACTTTACACGAATTTCCTCACTTGTATTGTCCTGTCCTGTATTTGTCCTCTGCGTTGGTGGCAGCATAAAATAAGTTGAAATAACTTGAGTGTGCTGTCGCCATGTCTAGTCATGAAATGTCGAAATTAAGAAAAACGGTTGCCATGGCAGCAGCCCCACCAACCTCTTCCTCCTCATCCTCCTCCTCCTGCTCCTCCAGGATGCTGAGTGACTCCAGGCTGGTCCAGGGAGTGCCGCTCCCCAGGCTCCCAGCATCCTCCCTGCTCTTCTCAAACGCCTTTTCAACCGCTACGTTCACATGCACACAGTTCAGTACCAAATAAGGACTGTACTGCCAAATAGGGACTGCATGCCCAAATATGGGCTGCAAACATGCAAACAATTTTTGGTACAGGCTTTCCATACCAGGTTACCGAACAAACGAGCAGAGGAAATGCAACAGTGGGGTGACAGACTGATGTGACATTTACACAGAAGGGTGCAAAATACATGTACATGTATGTGGTGCAACAACAAGCAACAATTGTGGCAGACAGACAAAAACTGGTTGCATCACGGGTACAGTTCCTTCTTACAGTATAAAGCTGCTTACACAATGCTATCTTTGACTTTGAGGAAGGAAAGTGGAGGACTCAATGTATCCAGAACTCTGCCTGTGCCTGCACGGGTTAGGATCAGGCACAGTTCTGGATAGTCTCCTCAGATCCAAGAACATAGATTTGCCCCAGACAAAACCCCCACCCAACCCACCAAACCCACTCGACCCACGCACACACCCAGCCAGCCTGCCCGACCCACGCACACACCCAGCCAGCCCACTCGACCCACGCACACACCCAGCCAGCCCACCCGACCCACGCACACACCCAGCCAGCCCACTCGACCCACGCACCCACCCAGCCAGCCCACCCGACCCACATACCCGTTTGATCTCCGGTCCGCCCTTGTGCGCCTCCTCTGCACTCTTGGTATAGTCCACAGGAACGATGTCGTCCCAGCCGATGAACTTGGACTTAAACACCTGAGTCTCTGTCCTGCAAAGGTCAATCAATCAATCAATGACAATAAAACAACATGAGAGCATGTTCATGCTACTTCAGTCTTTTTGAGCTGGGATAAAAATGCCTGAATGACAAGGAAACATACATTCTTTTAGTTTTGCAGTGTCCTCAACTTTGTTACCTGTTTCTTCATTTAATTTTGTGGAAGCTACCAAATCAGATTAAGATCGAATCTTGTCAATTTTTCTTCCACTTACGACATATGTTTGACTCTGAACCAACACTGGTTTCTGCCTAGCTCTGTCCTGTTGTAGTGACCATGCAGACAGTTGTACACATTGTTTTTCAGCACAGTGGAGACAGGTTATACATGACGTAGATGGCACACATCATGCCACTTGGATGTTGTTGTGCTTATCGTAGACTACGGGTAGAATGAATGGTTACTGTGACAGGTTTGCTGGTTTGTCTATGAGGGCAGCTTGTATACATTTACGATGTGTTAATACACAAGGTGTCTCCCGCAGATCTACCACAGTGGTAGTGATGACGTTATTGTAGTACTACACACTTCCCTGGCTACTGGCTTCCACTGGTGCTTCCAGAATGACCCTACATGAGTAGACAGGTGGGCACTATGGATTGGGTTCTAAATGGGTGGTAGATTCTGTGTTCCCATTCACTCCGGGCCTGACGTCAATTGATCCCGCTTCCGACTTCCGGAGAGTCAGCGAGTGAATATTAACACAATCATCTGACGAAGGTTGACGAGATCGATGGTGAGTTCCCTTCTTGTGTGAGAACAAAGTTTGAACTTAACAACTATGCAATGCCCCATATGGGGTCTAAATGCTTGGGTCAGTGGGAAAAATTATCTGAGGGGATTCCAAAATGTGGCCACAATGGAAAAGATGGCAACTAGCACCTTTGTGCATTGTTTTTGAATCCTGCGACTCAAAACTTCAGTTTGAACTTGCAGTTTTGTTAGATCTGCCAAGTACAGTTCTGAATGGGGGCTGGAATGAAGCTTACATCTAACAGGACACAACCACTATATGAACGGGGGTGATCTGTGCACAGGCTACAGCCGTGAGAAAAAAAATCATGCAGTCTGGCATGCACTGTCCAACCCACTTTTCCCTGATCGCCCCCTCGGGAGTTTTGGTATAGTCCAATGGGAGGATATCGGTCCAGTCGGGAAACCTGCACTTGAAGGCCTGAGTCTCTGTGCTAAAGGAAAGGATGTCAGGTTAACTTTGACCCCTGACCTAGAGGTCAAGCAGCAAGTTGACCCACTCATGTCATGGGTCCTTCAGCTGCTTCCCAAAGTATACAGTTTTCTTTTACAGGCTCAAAATACAATGTTACAGTATTACTACATGTAACTAAGTGAGCCAACATTCTTCAAAAATCCTTGTGGGAATGAAATAGAAAAAAATCAAAATTAGCATCTTCAATCTCGTTTCCTGATTTTGGTGAATGTCTAACTAACACACAAAATAAAAACCTACCCTTCCTGCACTCTTGTTACCATGGCAACGTCCGGTCTGGGCAGCATGTTGCAGAGTTCCTGGGAGAGCTTCAGCGCCGCTGCTCGCACCAGCCGGGTCGACTTCCGGCCCAACCTGCGGGAAGGGGGCGCAGAAACAAGGATCAAGGTCAAACAACAAAAACTTTCTGCTGACTTCCTGCCCAACTTGTGGGGGGGGGGGGCACAAACAAATGTCAAGGTCAGTCAGGACAAAAACCTTCTGGATTCAACTGTTGGAATCATATTCTATTCATATTAATTTACATAACACATCCACTTTTATCATATTTACTGACACATGCATTTATTTACTGCAGTACCACACTTGTCTGCTAGAGGGGGTACAAGTACTGTCCTTACCACACAAACACGTCGGAGTAGCAGTCCAGGATGTAGACGTTCCTGGTGTTCAGCACAACCTTCCGCAGCCTCTGACCCGCCCCAAGCTCAACTGTGTGCAGGAAAATTGGTGTGTTTTTCACAGTAAGGCCACAGCAAATAAATTTTATGGATGACATCTGCGCGCGCACATTAATTTTCGCCTGATTTTGGAAAAAAAAAACAAGAAATTTTGTTGCCTTCTGACAGTGGTCAACATACCGAAAATGGGCAAAGGCCATGTCGGAAGGTGGATGGCAGATAACTAGGAAGAGAGGAGACAAGAAAAGGCTCTGATTTATTGTTTTGTTTCTTACTTTGATGCAGTGATATGTGATTCTGGCTGTGTATATGTGATGTTCCTACTCAATCAAAACCATTTGTACAATGATTGAGTCAAAATTTTACATCGTAGGGACCTTGTTTTTTTTCTGCCCGCCTTGTTTTTTTTTCGCCCGCTCGCATTAGATTTGGAGTCTGCAGAGGATGTCATCCATAAAATCTACTTGCTGTGGCCTCCATTGCATGAACCACAAATGTCAACATGAAAGTAGTAATATCCATATAGACAGGAGATAGATGTTGTGAGGAAGTTTTCCCACCTTGCGGCAGCTCCAGGTACCCCATCCCCAGGCACACTTGGTACAGTCTGGGCTTGGGAGGGGAGAAGTCTTCTGGCACGTGCGGCTGGGAAAACAGTCATTCATAACTCATACATGGTGAGCCAATTTGAAAGTAGAACTATAGTCAGTCTGTGCAATAATATAGAATAAACTCAGGCTTTCATTGAGTACTTTATATTGGAGAACCTTAGTTAGACATGATACAAAGAACACAGATTTTTTACCCCATTCGCAGATGGCCATCTTACCAAAATCTCATCTGGCAGCCCTCCCAGGAGCTCCCAGAATGCCTTGGTCTCCTGGCCCTGTCGGATGACGCTGATTTCCGCCTCGTTTTTCCGCTCGTTTTTGTTGATTTTCTCGGCCATCAACCTGGGGAGGGGGGCAAGACATGGCAGTTACATGACTGTTTTGTGACTGTGACGTCTTAAAATGTCCATGTAATGTCCATAAACTGACAGAGTGCAAACTGTCCTGATTCTGGTCCTTGTATTTTGAGTTTGCCCAGCAGCTAGGTAAAAAGGTAGATGACCTTTAATTTGTTATTCCACTGACCTATCACCTATCAACCGACCCTTTGGCCTGCTCTTTGTGATTTACTTGTCTACTCTATTCTAGTCACACTTTGACCTATGCCCTTACCTGGCCTTTGTCCTGGTGTTGAGCGTTGACCTGTGACCTGCCCAGATGTAGATCCTGAGCCCGGCATCGAGCAGGAAGCTGAACCTGGGGTCGAGCGCGCTCAGGGTCACCGGAACCTGGGGGGGGGGCAAGTGGTCAACTTTAGTCTCAACACTGGGCACAAGTACAGCCAGATATTCATGTTGTCATACATGCAACAACTGACAACTAAATGACATGATTGTGATCATGTGATGTCCATGTGACAGACATGTGATGTCCATGTGACAGACATGTGATGTCCATGTGACAGACATGTGATGTCCATGTGACAGACATGTGATGTCCATGTGACAGACATGTGATGTCCATGTGACAGACATGTGATGTCCATGTGACAGACATGTGATGTCCATGTGACAGACATGTGATGTCCATGTGACAGACATGTGATGTCCATGTGACAGACATGTGATGTCCATGTGTCAGACATGTGATGTCCATGTGTCAGACATGTAGTACTTACTGGCTCCAGGTGGATGTTGTAGGTTTTGGGGATGCTGACACGGTACATGCGCACAGTGTACTGTGTGTTCTGTGGTACTTACTGGCTCCAGGTGGCTGTTGTAGGTTTTGGGGATGCTGACTCGGTACATGCGCACAGTGTACTGTGTGTTCTGTGGTACTTCCTCGGTACATGCGCACAGTGTACTGTGTGTTCTGTAGTACTTCCTCGGTACATGCGCACAGTGTACTGTGTGTTCTGTGGTACTTACAGGCTCCAGGTGGATGTTGTAGGTTTTGGGGATGCTGACTCGGTACATGCGCACAGTGTACTGTGTATTCTGTAGTACTTACTGGCTCCAGGTGGATGTTGCAGGTTTTGGGGATGCTGACTCGGTACATGCGCACAGTGTACTGCGTGTCCTCCACTGTAAAGAACCCGCTCGCCGTGCCGCCCTCGATGTACGAAATGTTGTGGTCAAAAACCTCCAGAAACTCTTCACTCTCGTCAGCTGCAGGGACAGCAGAAAGACAGTGTAAGTAACATCAAGGTCAGATGAACAGCAGGGGAAGTCAGACACTGTAGCATGAAGGTCAGAGGAACAGCTGGGGAAGGTCAGACACTGTAGCATGAAGGTCAGAGGAACAGCAACGTACTTGCTCCTCCCTGATGGTTCTACACTCGGCTCCCAGAAGGTTCCTCAAGTTGACGGAGTGGATCGCGGCGCAGGCTTTCTTATCCAGCTGCCAAGGAAAACAGTGGTTACCATGGCAACTTCACACAACATACCTCATCTCTGACATCAGTTTCTATAAAGTATAATCATTGTTGATGAATTGTTGCAAGATTAAAATGTCAATTTGAAAATCTTTTCAATTGTAAAACTAAAATCTCCACTGCACATCCAAGTTGTTCTAAGATACCAGGCTGGCAGATGCAGAGTCAAGGTTGTTCTAACATTCTCTCTATTTACATGCAATTTGTAGTTACTGGTCTTAATTTCTAAGGGACTTTACGTGAGCAATATTACAGAAGGGTGCATGTTAGTCCAGTTGCCTTTAGACAGTAGAGGGGAGAATGATGTGTAGCAAAAATTCTAAAAAAAGCATGCCTGTGACCCTGAAGTGGAGGGAAACACAAAGGAAAGAGAAAAGAAAGGAGCCTCACAGAAGAATCTTTGCCAATCCAGAAGAAAATCTGCCAGTTTTTCTGTTCCTGGTCTTCTATGACTGTCTACGGAGGGGAGGCAAAAGAAGCAACAGGAAGGGGGGAGAGGGCAACGTTAATAGAAGAACAGAACAGAAGCAGCTACAGGATTTACAGGAGGGAGGAGCTGAAAGAAGAAATCAAGACAGATCTTAGGAATGTCGGAAAACTGACTGCAAAATGTGAAGAGACAAAAGAGTGATGAAGGCCTAGGTAAACAGATATGTTGACTGCTGGGACAGAAAATAGCGCAAGACATCTACAGTACTGAAAACGGAGGAACAAAAAGATGTGCAGGTTACAGCTCAGGACAGAGCAAACCAAACCAAGAGGGCCACGACAGAGTGAAGCAGGGGAAAAGGAACACTTGTTTGTTTGTCCTGGTACGGAACAGAAAGAGAAAAGGAAGTGTTAAAAGTGGTCAAGGGTAGTGACCCCTGCTGAAATGGGTCAAGGGTCGTGACCCCTGCTGAAATGGGTCAAGGGTGGTGACCCCTTCATGTGTCTTACTGAGGCATCAGCTCCGATCCAGTAGAAGATCATCCAGTCTGTGTTACCCTGGTCGTCACAGCTGGTCTGGGGGAAACAAACAAACAAACAACAGTGTAAAACTGACCCCTGATCTCTAACCCCTAACCTCTAACCCATCCAGTCTGTGTTACCCTGGTCATCACAGCTGGTCTGGAGAAAAACACACAGAACAGTGTAAAACTGACCCCTGACCTCTAACCCCTAACCCTGCAGGTCATCAGAGCTGGTCTGGAGAAAAACACACAGAACAGTGTAAAACTGACCCCTGACCTCTAACCCCTAACCTCTAACCCTGCAGGTCATCAGAGCTGGTCTGGAGAAAAACACACAGCAAAACAGTGTAAAAATGACCCCTGATCTCTAACCCCTAACCTTGCACCTGTCATCACGGCTGGTTTGGAAGAGCAGAAGGTGCTTACTGTCTAGAGGTGCAGTCTACCACAGGTTTGTGTGTCTGGTCTCCATTTTTGTGCTAACAATTATTTACAAGTTCTGTGCTGGTACACCCACAGACATAGAGTGAGGTGAGAGTGTGAGTTACAATGTAGGGTTCTGTGCTGAACTGGATCAAGTTTGTACAGGTACCTGCTGTCTCCCCAGAATGGACAAAAGGCAAGTCAGAAACATTGTCAGAAAAATGTCAAACAGGCCACGGGGTAGTTTTTATAAGGCCACAGCAAGTAAATTTTATGGATGACGTCCGCGCGCGCATTGATTTTGGCCTGTTCCTAAAAAAAAAACCAAGAAATTCCGTTTCCTGTAATTATGACCAAGATCACGACAGTGCCGCAAAGTGGGCTCGCCACCCTTGGTCACCAAGTATGTGAGCGTTAAGGTCGTAAAAGCATGCGGAAACGTTGTTGTTGACTGGTACGTACTTGATGTCGGCCAGGGTCAGAGCTAACTTTACTGTTTTGATGATGAATAAAAGACGTCATGCTTGTGACACTGTGTCACCTCATTCAATTTGTGTCCTAACATTTGTCGTCTCTTAGTATATTTCTAATCTAGACATCTTGTTTTTTAGGGCCTTTCTTGTTTTTTTTTCGCCCTCTCGCATTAGATTTAGGGTCTCCAAAGGACGTCATCCATAAAATTTACTTGGTGTGGCCTAACCGTCATATACATGTACTTACATCTACTAAATCACATTCTTAGGGCTTATTACAATTATGCAAAATGCAACATTTACAACAAAGATCTCAAGTGCACATAATTATACACGTCATGGCTGAAACGCTTTTCTCTGGTTAAAAACAAAACTTACAAACTACATGTGTACAAAGATATGAGACAGGTAACGAGCCCAGTCTAATGAGCCAGGTGTAACAAGTTTGTATGAGACAGGTAACGAGCCCAGTCTAACGAGCCAGGTGTAACGAGTTTGTTGCTCCTACCTTGAGGATGATGTAACAGTCTGCATCGTAGAACTTCCCGTGTTGGGCTGTGGGGAGGGGGGCAGAGGTTAGTTCTACAGCTGTTCTGCTACGTGCATGTCTGTCATTATAAACTCACATACAAAAATATTTAAATGACTTGTACACGTGGTACTGATTATTGCACAATTATATTTCCGAAAATAGTTTCCCCAGGTTGCTGAAGTATAGGAAGTAGAGGTTTTCTTTTACACAACCATCACCTTGCTTATGTTTCCAGTCACTAGTGAGCAGCTCTGAGGCAGGTGTCTGATTGTCACCAAAATGTAAGCAAGGTGAGATACAATGCTGGTTGTGTAAAGAGAAAATTTCTGGATACGACAGAACTAGACAGACACAGTTCTGGAAATGACAAGCCCTTGGGAAAGGCACTTAACACACATTTCCTCATACAGCCAGTCTCTGAAAGCTGTCAAAAACTTTAGAGTTTGGCGTTAGGAAGAGCATCCAGTCAGTAAAAACCGTGCTTCAAAAAAAAGACTTGCACAGGCTTGCTGTTGTGCACCTCAGCATGCTGAGGGGCAAATGACAAGCCCAAACATGCACCTGTGCAAGCACGTCTATACCCCCGATTCAGGGAATCAATGACGTAAAACTCGGATAAGAAGAAGAAGAAGCAGTCTGACCTTCCTCGATGAGAACGGGGAGGAAGTTTTCGATCTGCCAGACGGTGACGCCGGCCGTCTGCCCCGTGTCCTCCGTGAAGAAGTCGCTGTAGTCCAGCTGTGGTCGCTCGAGGCCCTCGTCCCAACGCCTCGGCCTGGGGGGACACAAAACTGTCACTAACAAACAAACAAACAAAACAAACAAGCTGCGGCCGCTCCAGCCCCTCTTCCCCCTGACAGGGCCTGGGGGAACATGGGAAAACTGTAACTAACTAGAAATATGGTGGTCAGCTACAAGGATTTACATGTAGCTAGTTAGTTACACATACAAGTACTAGTGACATTTGCTAAGGAAATACAAAATATTTACCTTCGCATGTGGTCTGCTCTGTTAATTCAAACAGGAGTCTAAATCTTTCCTGTAATAAAACTGCAACAGGATATAACCCAACACCACTTACCAAGGTGACAGACGTCTCTGGTTCAGGTCATTGACCTTATTTGTTTGGAGAAGAAGAAGAGGAAACAATAATTTTGCCTTCTGTAAACATATTAACAAACAAACAACAACATTCACATGTACTGACTTTGCCTCCTGTCTGTCTCCCTCCTGCTCCTGGTCCTTGGTCCACTCCTTCAACCTCTTGTTCTTTTCTTCTGTCACTCCAGTCATACCCTACAAGTACAACACAGCACAAATGTGTACAGGTTATATACATGTATACTGACAACTGAGGGAAAAGTAGTACCACACTGGAAGGCTTACTGGCTGATTTCACTTGAGCAGAGTGAGTGCAGCTCTGAGCAGCCACTGTTGTTGTTATTCTTGCCTAAGTCTGTGATTTTTCCATGACTTTTCCTCAGAACTGGCCTGGATGTTTGTGTTTTTATTACTACACTTTCTGCAGCCACTGGCCATGGCTCAACAGCCTTACTGGCTTACATAACCTCAAACCCAGCGGCCATGATCCCAGGCTGGGAAACTCTCCCTCCAGCTTTGTCACAGGTTTGATTCAAAATGGGGGAGGGGGGCAGGGAAAGACCCAAATACTGAAGTATACAGGTTGACCAACACAGACACTAATGTTACATGGTCTGCAGTTATCTAACCATTACACATTCTGTATTACACACACAATGATGCACAGCTGCCACTAAACACAGATGAAATACAATAACAGAAGTCAATTAAAGTTCTTACCATCTTGAAGTGACAAGTCTGTTCCTCCCAACTGTATAGACTGTAAACCCTTAGTGCTGTCTAACCTACCTGTCCAAATGTTTCATTTTTAACTCATTACAAAAAGTTTGACTGTTCAAGCTTAGAAAAGGTTTACAATGAAATTTGCCTATGATCCTATCTTCCAGATTTGTGAAATTTGAGTTGAAATGTTGGTGTCTGGCCCTGACACCCGACTTGAGCATGGCAGACAACATGGCTGACTATGCTCATGTTGTTCAGGTGTGGGGTTATTGTTTTGTAAATTTCTATTGTTTGGCAGGTGGGAAAACTCACAGCTCAAGTACAGGGTTCACACCCACACTAACGAGGTGAGCTTCTAGCTAGGCTAGGGAAAGAGATGTTGTGTTTCCTGTTTCAGTCCTGAAATAATTAGGATGGGTAGGATTATCTTTTTTTGTCATCTCCAGCAATCCAACTTAGATCACTAGAGATTAAAATAGAAGTGTCCTCATTCAAGTTTTACTTTGTCAAATTGCATTGTATAAGCAAGGAGCTCCTTGGATCACTAGAGATCCTCAAAGTCTACAGAAAAAAAGGAAAAAAAAAATCCCTACCTACCGACCCTCATATTTTCAGGAGACTGGAACAGGAAACACAACATTTATTTTCCTAGGCCTCAGTAAATGTAGATCTGTCTGACCTTGAGAACCTTGTCGCTGTCCCCAGCTGTGTCCTTGACCTTCCTCAGCCGCATCTTCCGAGCCAGAGGGTCCTTGGAGGCTGCAGGGAGAGACTTAAGTCAGAATCATCGACTATCGTAAGGAAGTCAACATCACAGACATACTACGTACAGAATCTGACTTAAACAAACCATCTTCCTAGCCCTGGGATTCTAAGAGGCTGCTTACTTTATGTTTGCTGCAGCAAGAATTCATGGTCTCATAAAAATGGGGGTTTTGTTTAGGTAATTGGTCCGCTGCCCAGGAACTTACACTTCCGGCTGTCTTGGTTAATCTCTACCACCACGATACACTCCTGTCTGTCTTTCTCCACTGTCTTCCACACAGACGTAAGGAGCTCCGTGTTTCCTGCCGCAATGTCTTCAAACACGTCTTCACACACCACGCCTTCTTCAGCATCTGCCTCCTTAAAGACAATGGCTCCTTCCTCAAACCCCTTCACCTTGGCGGCCACGAGGTCCCGAACACACACTTTGGTGTCCTCCCAAGAAGCTCCCCCTGCCTCCCACTCGGGTACTGCAGCTCCAGGGTAGGGGAGAGCCGGAGGGGCGGGGCCCTGCTGTTGCCGTGGAGACCGGGGTAAGGAGGCTGCCAGCATTTTCTCCAAGGAGACCAGCAGTTTCTCGCAGGCTTCGTCCATGGAGGTGGCAACGTGCAGGAACCAACTGGGGGGTGGGGGAGGGGGGACCGGAGGGGGTGGGGGGACCAGGGGGGGAGGGGGTGGGGATACATAAGGGGGAGGAGTGGGAGGGCACAGAGGGGGGTTGGAATGTGTACAACCGCTCTCGTAAGTTAGGTTAAAGTTTCTGCACGCATCCTTGGCGCTCCCGTAATGTCCCTCTTCGCTGTATCTGCACGACAGGCAAATGTCTCCGGTCAGCTGAGTGGCTCTGTGTGACAATGACCTTGTCCTTGCATTTCTCACAGTAGACTCCATGGATCCAGAGCTTATATCACAGTGTTCAGTACAGTAAAGATACTTCGTCAGTCCGCATGTGTCCAGTGCTGATGGCACACTGTGTTTCAGTCAGGAAGACACCCGGTTTGTCCGCCTTTGCAGCTATTGTTTCTCACAGTCTGACTGACAGGGTGCTAAGAACTGGCTGCTAGCTGCAGCATTGGGACATCTGAGGGCAGTCTACAACAGTTACAGTACTGTAAATCACTTTATATTTGCGGTAGCAAAATTTCAGTCTGAAAAAATTATGGACATGTTCACGGAACTACATGTTCACGGTGCCAGCAGGTGCAGAAGGAAGAAAGTCTGGGAATTATTTTTGTTCGCAGTAATGATAAATTTGCGGTAGAGAAGTGACCAAGAATACAAAAGTATCACAAATATAAAGTGATTCACAGTGTTCTCACTGTCTGCGGGCAAATTCCCCAGCACATGTGCCAGCAAGCCTTCGCATCACAGGGGGTGGCGCAGAATGAGACCTTCCAACAAAGTTCTGTTTTTCTCAGTACAGAAGGCTTCCCAGCATCTGCTATCTGCTCTGCATCTGTACAGGTTTGTGTGGTGTGATCGTTTCAACAGTCAACACTGGTGGCATCAGATTTCGTTTTATAACATAAGAAATTTTTGGATTTACAGCCACCCCTGGGAATAATGGATTCTTCCACCTCAAGACCACTTGTGTGGTTTGATGGCTGTCAGGGTATCAAATTACAGGTATTGGTATCAGGTTGAAGTTTTGGTATTTGGTGTTATTAATAGAGGATGGAAGTTATAATTTTAGACCTCATGTTCATGTGTCTACTCAATCATTACAAAGATATATTTGATCAGACCGTACCATTATAATTATGGATGTGAAAGATAGAGGTGCTGTCTCCACCCCTTCTTGAATGGATTCCCCCCAAAACGGGACATAAACGCCCTAAAACCAAGGACATCCTTGGGTAAACTGATGACGAAGCTTTGGGGGGTCCAAATCATGCCATACATACAAACAAGCCAGCGTAACGCCATGTCTATATGCTGTGCGTATTGTGTACTTGGCTGCCCCTCCCCCCGGCACCTGGTCTACAGACTAGAACTTGACCTGACCTTGACCTGGGCTCCAGACCTCCTCTGCTTCACCTGTTCACAAACACACAGGTACAGAACATGCACAGGTCACTGTCAACCCAAGGGGCATGCATAGGTCACTGTCAACCTGGGGCTCATGTACAGGTCACTGTCAACCGAGAGGGCATGCACAGGGCACTGTCAACCCAGAGGGCATGCACAGGTCGCTGTCAACCCAGAGGGCATGCACAGGTCGCTGTCAACCCAAGGGGCATGCATAGGTCACTGTCAACCCAGGGGCCATGCACAGGGCACTGTCAACCCAGAGGGCATGCACAGGGCACTGTCAACCCAGAGGGCATGCACAGGTCGCTGTCAACCCAAGGGGCATGCATAGGTCACTGTCAACCTGGGGCTCATGTACAGGTCACTGTCAACCCAGAGGGCATGCACAGGGCACTGTCAACCCAGAGGGCATGCACAGGTCGCTGTCAACCCAAGGGGCATGCATAGGTCACTGTCAACCCAGGGGCCATGCACAGGGCACTGTCAACCCAGAGGGCATGCACAGGTCGCTGTCAACCCAGGGGTCTTGCACAGGTCACTGTCAACCCACGGGGTCATGCACAGGTCACTGTCAACCCAGGGGGCATGCACAGGTCACTGTCAACCCACGGGGTCATGCACAGGTCGCTGTCAACCCAGGGGTCTTGCACAGGTCACTGTCAACCCAGGGAAGGGTCACACACATGCTAAACCAACAGTTCTCTGTGCATGAGCAGTAATTTGTGAAAGACAAGGGAAAGTGGACTGTGATGGTTGCCGAGCATTCAGCCAGCCCGAGGCTCATTCCTGCCTGGACGGGAGACTTTGTACACCACAACCTGACAACACAGGAAGGTCCTGTAATATTCTGCACAGCGTGTTACAATAACTATCAATGTGAGTCGGGTGTCATGTTTTTAAGACAAATTCTGAGAACAGCACAATTCTGAACTTGGTTCCTGGTTGTAGTTTTGTACCAGTCTGCCCAGGCAGGAGCCAGCCTGAAGTGTGAACGCTGGGCACACCAGGAGGGAAGGTGGGGAGAACACAGTCATAGCAAGGAAAACAACAAACACTAAACTCATAGGAAATTCAACTCTACTACTGGATAAATTTCCAGACATTTCAAGTGACATCCACCACTCTTCTTCAGCGTCACTAATGAACTAACAGAACTCGTTAACACATATTATATGAGTAACTGGGAAAAAAACGATTGAACATGACAAAGACTCATACAGTCATTGATACTAGTAAAAGACATTAGGTAGTTCCTATGGTAAAACAACTACTGAGAGCTCTACACACAGTCCTCTCTTCCGGTTTGGTTGGTTTGTAAATCCATTTATACAAAACACTGTAGCACTAAACTCTGTCTCTAATGGTTACAAACTTCTAGTACTTCTTACAGGCTTTTCTCTGTAGCTTGGTGATGAAGGTCGAGGCCAGCATGGCAGAATACATGGTGACCAGCAGCCATGAACTTCAACTTGACACACTTTAAGTAACTGCAACACTGGACAGGGTCCACCAGTACTATTCACAACCTTTCATACAGGTGCACCACACCTTACTATAACACTTACACGTGTGTGCAGTAGGGGACTGTTCAGGAACTATACAGGGGGGATAACACATGTGTACAGTAGGGGAGTGTTCAGGAAATATAGAGGGGGGATAACACTACACATGTGTACAGTAGGGGAATGTTCAGGAAATATGCAGGGGGGATAACACTTACATATGTGTACAGTAGGGGAATGTTCAGGAAATATAGAGGGGGGATAACACTACACATGTGTACAGTAGGGGACTGTTCAGGAAATATACAGGGGGGATAACAGTACACGTGCACAGTAGGGGACAGTTCAGGAAATATACAGGGGGGATAGCACTACACGTGTGTACAGTAGGGGACAGTTCAGGAAATATACAGGGGGCACTACAAATGTGTACAGTAGGGAAGTCTTCAAGAAGTATACAAATATTAGTAAGTGCTTAGACCTTACATGTTGACTACTGTAAAGACAGGTACTGAGGTAGACAATGTTGGCCTAGTTCTACCCACTCCAGATCACTACTGACTCTCCCCTTACACCAAACACACATGAACCCTCCCCAGGTACCCCTTAGCCTCGTTGCCTAGCAACAGAAGAACCTGGAAATTTGACACCTGCCGCAGACGAAGGGTGTGTAAATGTCGGGCGGCCATATTTAGAACAAAGGTCAACATAAAGGTCGTTGGCAAACAGTAAGCTGTTGAGTTTAAGGACCTTCAATTCAACTTCTTACTGGGGGAGGGCAGATGTAACATGCAAGGTATGGTGTGCATATTTTTCTCTTTTTTTTCCAGGGTTTCTTTAACTAAACGATGTTTGTCTTTGTTATCAGAGTTTGCTTGTTCATTTTGTTTGCAGAGCGGCCCACAATGACACTTGCAGAGCGGTCCGCCCATTTTTTTTTAAGTGTACCACATCATTACTGGTGTTTCTTTGTTGACTTCCTGCATATTTCCCATACTTCAGAGTCCACGCACCTGTCTGTCAGCCAGGGTGGCAACAACAATGTAGCCTGGCACTTTGGTACAGTTAATGCTACTGTTACTGTAGGAGGGGGTACTCACGTTGCTGCCCGTGAGGGGGTTGGGGTATAGGGGGGTACAGGAGGGGGTACTTACGTTGCTGCCCCTGTGATGGTGAGGGGGGTGCACCTGTAGCCAGTCTGAGCTGATGCTGCAGTGAGAAGTCGATGTTGTAGAACTCCGGCCCGCTGCCGGTTTTCTTCTCTTTGGGCTTCGGCGGCATCACCAGGTTCGGGTTGTCTCGGATATCCAGCGTCTGCAACATGGGACGGCATTAGACTAACCCTAACTCACACATTACACTAACAGTTACTGCAACACACACATTACACTAACCACAACCCACACATTACACTAACTGCAACAAGGGATGACATTAGACTAACCGCAACCCATACATTACACTAAGCGTAACGGTTACCACACTGTAACCCACACACAGGATGTATAACCAAGGCCAGACCCACACTAACCTTAACCCACACTGTAAACCACACACACAACTTATAACCCACATCATAACCCACAAACAAGAATTATAACCCACACCGTAACCCGTGTACAGAACTCACAACCCACACCATAACCCACACATAGGACTTATAACCCAGGTTAAACCCACACAGAAAACTCTGACATTAACCCAGGCCTGGCATCACACTCCAACATTAAAGGCAAAGAAACATTCAGTGTACAAAATATTTTTTGAACTACAGCAAAAATTAGGTTGCCCATCAGAATTTTAGGTTGCCCCACCGATAAGTTACTACTTTCCTCAAATTAAGTAATGTTACATACATAAGCCTTTGACAATATTTCTAACAGGCTTTAGTTAACTGATACTAGTCATAGCCATTAATACTTAAAATTAAAAAGCATCTGCCGGATACAGTGGTGCAAGCCAAGTCACCGTGGGCATGATTTTGGGGGGGGGGGGCATTTTTAAAATTCAGGTAGCACACTGGGCTACCTAGGTTAAAAAATAGGTTGCCCCAAGTAAAATTTGGTACCCCGGGGCAACTGGGCAACCAGGTATTTTGCACGCTGCCATTAGTTACATCTTCCTTACCTCCAGGTCTGTGAGAGCGTGGATGGCATCAGGCAACGTCACTAGTCTGTTTCTGTTCAGGATCAGCCGCTTCAGTTTCCCACATCTAAACAACAAACAACAGGTACACATGTAAATAACAAACTACAGCATTACATGTAAACAATGTTTGATAATTATGTATTCTGTCATTTTTTAAATCAAATTTGCCTCCCAGTCATAAATTTGCCTTGAACAAAGGAGTAAGCTGACTGGAAAAAAAATGCAGAACCGTGGAACTCATGGAACCACTTCTGCATAGTCTGTGGCAATTATTAAATTCTTCTTGAAAAGTTCTTCTCTAATAGCTATAAGATGACCTTCTTAAAACAGCCAATAGGGCCAAGATGCCCTTTATCACCATGGAAAGTATTCATTTGGCCTGTTGCATGTCCTTTCTGGACCTTTAAGTTCCCTCAGAAATACATCAGATCCTGCAGTACCAGTAGGGACTGTGTGTGGGGAGGATATCAACAGTTTAACTTTTAATCTATCCTAGAAAGGAATCAGGTGAACCCCAGGGAAAACACCACCTTCTGTCACTTGACACTGTAAGGATTTTGGACACTGAACAAGACTATTTCTCGAGAGGGGTGAAGGAAGCCATATACATCAGGGCCCATCACCCTACATTGAACCGCGAAGGGGGTCGACATCATCTACCAGATACCTTTGACCCAGTGTTGACGTCACACTTCAAAGAAGCCACGTGACAAGCTTCACTGGGTCAGTCTACTGAGGAAGACCAGAGTGACTGGTCGAAAGCTAGACTAGGTGAGAGAACTTTTGTGTTGGACCAAAAGTTTTAAGTTTTAACATCACCTTCTGTCGTTTGACTCTTCTCCTAACTTTGCTCGCGGCGGAGGTTGTCTGTCACGAGGGCGGGGCTTTCCCATGTTGTCATGGAAACACAGCGATATTTCTCCTCACCAAAAATGTTGTACATTGGGAAAAGTCATTTGGACGGGATTCTGTGGTTTGCTTCCTTATGTATCAAATTTTCAATCAATCAATCCTCCGCAGGCTTCATGTTAGAAGTGTGGTAGCTGTAGACAGTTCAAATAGGCTTGTTGTTCCTCAGTATCAAATCTTCAATCGATCAATCAATATATACACCGCAGAATTCATGTCAGAAGCATGTCAGCTGTAGACAGTTGTTTCCAGAGGCTTCTGTAGTCAGTGTGGACTCTCCAGGTGTCCTTAGATGCCCCCACTTCATACAGGGATCAAATCTTGCGTCAGTGAAGGTAAGACATCCAGGTAATAATGAGATACGGCCAAAAAACAGCTACTCAAGCAACTGGAAATTATTTTGGAAAATCTTGGACGACCTCAATACAAGATAATTGCCCTGGCGAGACAGAGGCATGGCCAGTTTGCTCTTTGTTTGGTCCCAAAGTCTTCAAGTCTGTTTTATAGAGTGCTTGAGGATGATTATAGATTTACTAGCTACACTCTTGACTTGAAAAGGCGTGAGACAACTTTATGGCTTAAATGGTTGGTTTAGTTGCAGTAAAGCCTTGAGAATGACGCCCCTCGTGTCTTGTGTTCATGGCTCAGTTAAAGCGGCTGAAGACTCAGGGTGTTTCAGCTCAGGTGAGGGAACTCTTAGTACAATTTGTTACTGAAGTTTGTCTGTGAAAATCACAAAACTGTCACCACCAATAATATTATATAACTCTGCATTCACACAGCTCATACTTCAGGTGATTCTGACTGCCACTTAAACTTTCCAAAGAACAAGTAAAAAACAGCTAATTGTCAATTCTGCTGGGTTCTGACTGACAAAAATTAGTGACATTCTCATCCCACTTCCTCACGGACTCCATTTCCTGAAACCTGCACGTTTCAGCGACGTTTGTCTCAGCCCTACACCGTTACTCCTGCAGGTTTTAGCCTTTGACCTTCTCCAAAACGATTCTGCTTGAATCCACGTCCGTCAAGAACTTCAAGAACAATCGTTGAAATCCCAGACTCCTTCAGGTATGTCTACAAATAAACAAAGAAAGTCTGACGTCTACATTTTCAGCATGTGGTGAGGCGAGGTTCCTTTTCCAGGACGCTTTCTAAATACATGTTCTTTCCTCAAAATCTTGCCAGTATAACTCCAAGTGCGGGAGCAGCTTCTTGAATTCCAACTACTACTTCAGGTATACGTCCAGTGTCTTAGACTCAGCACACCTCCTTACAGACTCCTTGTAGTTTTCTTGAGTTCTCCAAGTCCAAGTTAACGAGACAGAGTAGCAGCTGTGCTCTGCATGCCTGGTGCATTATTAGTGACTGTTAGTTTCTGCAGGCTGACGTCACTGGTTAGTTATGGGCCAGGACTGTGTATGGGGGTTATACCGCTCCGTTATGGGTCTGTTTTTGTCAGGGTTGTTATAGGCCTGCATGTGAGCGCTGTGTATGGGGGTTATAGGCCTGCATGTTAGGGCTGTGTATGGGGGTTATGGTCATTCATGTTAGTGCTGTGTATGGGGGTTATGGTCATGCATGATAGGGCTGTGTATGGGGGTTATGGTCCTACATGTTAGGACTGTGTATGGGGGTTATGAGCTTTATCGCCATGCAGAGTCTCTCTGTAAACCTGACCCTGTTGCATGTAAGGCTGACAAGAAAAGTGTCCTAAACCCCATGCAGAGCCTCCCCATACACCTGACCCTGCTGCATGTAAGGGTGACAAGAAAAGTGTTTTTAAGCCTTTTGTTGTCAGCTGAAGTGGAACCACTCAGGCCACAACACAAAACCGCCGGCCTGGCTTCTGGGTCGGTGCAGGAC